CCCAACATCAAGCATGTCCATGTTAAGTGTTCAGGTGAGTGTTAAGAGCAGATTGAAGTGTGTGTTTGTGACTACTTGTACATAAGTTTGCCTTTATATGTGCATTTTTGTGCTCTTAGGTGTCGTGTCCAGAACAGCAGTTCCATAATGCACCCATGAGGCTGTGAGCTCGGCACCAGAGCACAGAGGTCCTTCATCCCTGTCACTATCTGTAAACAACAGCTCGTCCCAGCGGCCGGCCCAATGCTATTCCTGGTTTTTCCTGACAACTTTCAAAGACTCCAAGTAACTCTGAGCACAAATAAACCCAGGTAAAAAAAAAAAGTATGGTTTTGTTTCAGCCCAGAACAGGACGAGTTGTACAATATAGTAGACATTCTATTCTACATTATAATAATACGTTTTTACTGAGTACTAGAATTTCTTAAGAAAAAATGTATGTTTAAATAATTTAATCATACAATATATTAACAATGTGGGACGAGTACATTTTACTACTTAATTACATACTCTTTACATATTTTATAATGACTGAACATGAAATGAAAAATGGTAAGTACTTTTGTATTTTAAATAATTTAAACATGTATAGCTTTTGAAACAAACACCCGCGTAGATCAGAGCGGCCGCGAGACGAGACGAGACGTTGGCAGAGGTGAGGCGCTTCAAGGCCGAATGAGAAAGTTGTTTTCTGACTACAATACTTTTTGAAAATATGTGGCTCTGTGCGTGTGTCTGAAAGAGAAAGACAGGCACGGTTAATCGGCGCAAATACCAGGCCAAGAGTGCAGCTGCCGGCTTTACGTTTGTGAGTAAATAGTTTGAACGTACTAAAATGAGTTTGAAACATGCTAATGCTATGTTAGGACTGTCTAGCTCCTGCGGTCAACATGTAAAAGTATCCTTGGGCAAAATACCTAGGCCGAAAACTGCCCCATATCCTGTGCCTTCAGTGTGTGGATGGGTTAGCTGGCTGAGCAGACGGACTCAGGCTTAGTAGCCTCTGCTAGTAGTGTGTGATGGGGTTATGAGACTCGTTGCTTAAAGTGGTCATAGAAACTAGAAAAGCGCTTTATAAGAACCAGTCCATTTACTACTCAAAGCAAATTGAACAAGATGGCACCCGGATGTGATTGTTATAGTTTTTGTGTTCAGTGTGGATGGCTTTTAATTGTATTGCACATATTAGTTGTTACATAGTAAACTAACCTTTAAAAAAACACCTGGAACTAAACCTTCTATGGGGGTGGTCCCCAGCACCAGGTACGTGGACCGACACCAGTCTGTAGGTCGTTTGGTATCGGGCCGCAGTTGGACACAGTGAAATTTTATTTTTACTAGATTACTTCATTCAAGATAATCAATATATACATTTACTTTCCTCGTTTCAGGGTAGTCAGGACAGTATTTCAAAAATAATATATCATTCATGCTATGATACTAACAGAATAAAGTTAAAGTTAAAACTGTAATGAATTTGTACCTTTACAGGTATCAATCAATAAAACAGGTACTTCTATAATCACATGGAGGGTTACATAGAAGGAGTGACTCTTCACTCCTATGTAGCAATATGCATGCTCTTATACTGCTGTTATTTACCCCTACTCTTCACTGCATAATCAAATATAAATATGAGAAGCCAGGGGACAGTTGAGGTAGGGAGGAGGTCTAGAGCGGAGAACAAATTGACAGGTTTCAACTTGTTTTTCAACCAAAAGACAGAGACAAAAACAGTAGTGTTCATCCTGCTTGTACGGTCGCTGCTCTTCATTTAACTTAATCCAAGCTAACAACTGGAAATTCTGAAATGTTACTTGTTTTGTGTCAAGTAAGGCTATTGTTCTCTCAGTTGATTGCAGATTATTGATATAAAATATTTTATTCTTTAAAATGCAGTGATTTGCCCCAGTGCCTAGGGGCACCACAAGTGTTTACGTTTGTGTTGACAAAATAAATAGTTTGAGTTGCCAGGATGGGATTTGTGATCTATAGAGATTGAATAACATAATGATAGTAGTAAATTATACTTGATACCAGCTTGTGAGATTTACTTAAATATGCAGCGGTAAAATTTACTTGTCTTTGGTGCAGATTGTTACGAGGATTTTATTAAGTAAATTCAACAAATTGTTTTTTGGGCAAACTTAGTTATGGATCACGTTGCCGTGTGTGAAGTTTTTAACATCTGTGTCTGAATCCCAGTAGAACAGTGGTGCTGGTGCTGTTGATGACAGAGTAATTAATTGTGTAATAATGATGCATAGCTCTGTTGTAAGTGCAACCTTGTGCAGCAGACGCCCTTCATCCTCTGATGAAGGATAATCGTTTCTGCAGCTGTTTAAAAATTAGATCCGATCTTTATCTGTCACAATCTCAATAACATTATCCACACAGTTACACAATCATGTTTGGACAAACAGACCCTGTATAAAATCAGAACATGAGGAGAAACATTACTGAGATACTGAGACAAAACTACTTAATATGGAACGAGTAAAATAATGTGTTGATGAACTGGCAGAAGAATTTCTTATTTGTTACATGTTTTGGTTTTTAACCTGCGTTTCTTTTGTTTTTTTCACTGAGACTTTACCAGACATGGTGTTATTGATGTTAGCAAATGTTTCTCAGGGAGGGACAGATTTTATAAAACAAAAAAATACCCCAAGGGCCAACTGCTTCACCTCAACTACGTCAGCCTATAATTAGGTTGTATATAAACCTGCTCAAAAGCCACAGTTGGCCCCCAGACTTGAGTTTCCACACGTCTGTTGTAGGTTAGTTGTGTAATAATGTAGAAAAGTAAAGAAGAAGTTTTACTTTTTATTATTAATAAATAGATTACCCCCTTTGCATTTGCAATGATATACTGGAAATGTCTGTTTTAGTTATTTTTGTCGAAATGATGTTATTAATTTATATTATCATTATACTTCTGCCTTTTTCCTGCAATGCCTGTAGATCCCCAATAGATGGCGTAGAAAAGACTAAAAGCATTTTAGCCTTTATGCATGACTTTTAGCCTGGGCTAAATAGTAGCAGTCTTGTTGTTAACTTTAGTTTGTTTCACTTTAAACAGATTTACAAGTTTTTTATATAACAAAATCAGATCCTACTGTTTCAGGATCAATAGAGGGAGCCAAAAAACCATAGCTTGAGAACCAGTGATTGAGCATTTGAGGTTTTTTTTCCAGGTTTTTTATATCTAAATACTGTCTCTATCGTTTACAATACATGATGTTCTAATTTGTTTATTATCTAACATTTAAGCTTTTATATTTTTTTGGCACATTTACACAAATTTAAGTCTGACGTTTGGTTGTATTTTGGCCAATATTTTGGTTTAAAAGTGTTTATTTTACTACATCCTCCACCATTTTTAGAAAAGTATTTTACCTCTGAAAAATGTGCAACTATATAATGTTTTATCTTTTAGCTTTTTCAGGAACAACAGACTTTTTCGGACACATTTTCTACAATTTTTTGTCTATCTTTTAGTCCTTTTCCAACTAACTTGCAGTTATGCTCTGGCACACAGAATCACAAGGGTACATTTCAATATCTCAAGGGCATTTTGTCTGCTAATTTTCCAACACTGCTGTATATAATATACATGTGTACTACTTCATTGTCTACCTTTAGGTGAGTCACTACATGATTGAAAACTGGTTTGTCCTCTTCGTCCTGAGTAATGCCTGTCCTCAGGAAGTCAATCATTTTCTTCTCCCTGCTGATTGGAGGTAATTAGGCGAGCAGAGTTTGTAATTGGATAATAAAAGATGCTAATGAGCTGCTGTTCTATTTATTCATCCTGTGGCTGTGGGTATATGAGGACACAGCTGTCACACATTTCTCATTGCTATACAATGAATATAAACAGATATGGCAAGTATATAAGGTTGATTATACAGCAACCAGTGTGTATATAGGCCAATTATTAGAAACATGCAGCCAGGAGAATGAAGTTGGAGTGTGTAAAAATAATATAGTTTATAACAATTAATATAAAAGTAAAGTCAAATGATTCCATTGTTAATAGGAAGTTTGAAGCTGGTTCTGATTGATGCTCTGAGCTTCTTCTCTTTCTCTGGTGTTAATGCCAATCTTTCTTGGGGGGAGGTTACAGAAGGGGGTACAAGGAAGGATGTTACAATAAAAAACAACTCTTAAGGTTATTTATGGTAACAACCTTCATGAAAAAGCAGGCCATTCTTTGAATCTCATTTGGCAGAGACACACTCTACCTATGCAGCACTGCTGCCCTTCCATTGTCCAGGCCTTGATACTGACAAGGTTGACATCAGAGGAGAGCTCTGACACTTGGTGAGTTAGGACTGCCAGCTGTTAGCAATCAGGTCTATTTTGAAGTCAGGGACACATGGACCCCCAGGGCCAAAGCAGCAACTAGACCCCCCCACTCCCACCCAGCCCCATCTCCCAACCTGGCCTACAACTTTCAGACCCCCTGCTCCCACAGATAGCCAGCACAGCTGTATTGGTTCCAGATGTTGCAAGACCACATTGAAGGCCTTTTACCTAAGAAGACCCCAGAACCCATGACCCATTCTCCCCTTCAGAGAGAATGATAATGTGACGAGGAGAAACAAAAAACAGATTAGGTTAAAATTTATTTTAACAACAGATGTGTGACTAATGCAACAACACGATGTGATGAATTTTCAGGGTTTATTTATTCTCTTTGAATTTTCAAATTTTCTCAGACTTTTGTCCTTGATAGAAGAGGGTCTTCACACTGGGAAGGAGGAAGCACTGCTGTAAGCGGCTATGAGGGATTAAGATCAATCCTGATTAACATTATGTATTGGCTTTGTTTGTTTTTCCAGCAAGGTGTAGCTGTCATCACAAATATTGGCCTGAATACCAAAGAGTCTCACCTCCGTGGTCTTACTCCATCAGGGTGCCTAAACATGCTGTGGCAGCACAGGGAGGGATTGCCGTAGCTGAAGATAAAAACTGCAATAGGTCAGTAAAGATGGCATCACATGGTGTTTACAGTAACAAGAGCACAGAGACATGCTGTATAAAATCTGGGCCAAGTTATGACAGGTATAGTGATTGGGACCTGGCAGCTACTTTAAAACGAAAGGAGTAAATCTTCCCAGCAGCATTGTTCCTCTGAAGTCAATCAGAACTCACAGGAAATTTGATCTGACAGGTGGAATGTCCCAGTAAGATGTCTACCCCCATCTTTTGACTAAAATTACATCACAGACCTAACATTTATATAACAAAGACGTTATTTTATTTATTTATTTTTAGACTAATTAGTGCCGAGGAGTCAAAAAACGGGGGGAGGAGGATGGTGGCACAATTAATTATTAAAATTACTATTACTCAGTGAAACCCCAGAATTTCGGACAAACGCCTAAACTTACCATTAACCATCGTTTGTGTAGTGGTCTACAACTCCCTCGTGTGGCCAGATCTGAAGATCGCAGAACCACATGAACAAACGTTAGGAAGGTTTTACATTTGTTTGTTTGCAAATAACGAAATTGAACTACATATCAAATTTAATCCATGATAAACATGATCACTATACTTTGTTTGGCCAAGACTATAATTTTTCTAAAAATTTAAAAATGAAAAAATTGGAATTTATAACATAACATAATTTTCTTTAGGTAAGAATAATGTTTGAGACCACAAAAGAGACAAGGAAAGCGAACTACTTGTTATTGTGACACAGCACACCACTGCACACACAACAAAATGTGACCTCTGTATTTTACCCATCACCAAAGTGAGCAGTGTGTGGGGACAGTGCCATTCTCAGTGCATCTCAGTGGTAACTTGGCAGCTGGTTGACTCATACCTGAAACATTTTGGACCCAAGTCCACCTCCTCAACCCACAACTCACCACTGCACCACAGATAAAGTGATGTTATAAATACATGGACTTGTAAAAGGTCGACCAACACATTTTGTGTGGAACAGAGTCATTACCTCAGTATGTCCAGCTGTGGTAAATCACTGGCTGGATATATTTGTCATGATAAGTGTGTTTTAATATCCTGCAGCTCAGTGTTTCCAAAACCTTTTTGAGTAATAATATATACAATATTCCCACAGCAAGCAACAAAAAAGAAAAACACCAAACAAAAATGTCCAAATATATGTGTATAATATATACAAAAGAAAAACACCAAACAAAAATGTCCCCAAAAAGTACAATGTATAAGTACATGAAATGCAATGATCAGCTAGTCTCAATCTACGGAATTGAAAAAAGTCACAAACAAAGATCTTCTTCAACAACTCTGAT